TTTTGAATTAGCACGGTACAAAGTTGCAAATTTTGGTGTGATCGTATGCGCTGCACAAGCGTGCATGGCAGCTGAATTAGAAATCTTTAGCTCGCACATGCACAGAGAATATCCCTGCAAAGTTCCAGCTTTGTGTCTTGCCTGGTTCGCGAAGTCATTTGCTGCCAAAGAAATCTGCAAATTTTTTTCAAGGGCCTGTACGCGAAGTCTAGGCGCGTATGAGCGAAAATTTTAAAACGGGAAGATGATACGCGAGGTAAGAGCATATACCCAAAATTTCAGCCTTCCAGTTTTCCTGGTTGCTGAGACGAAAGTGGGTGACAAATTTCACTCGCTTTCAAACGCGTATACACAACACAGACGACCTCTCGACAATATACGTTTTTGCTAGCTGTAGCAGCGTTACAGCGTTGCACAGCAAAAACGCATAATGAATAAATGGATTGTGAGGAGACTGATGGCTTCATTGACTGTATCGAACCGTCGCACTTTGGGTTGAGAGCAGCGCGCTTCTGGGCGAATAATGGTATTGCATTTGTGCACTTTTCAGGTTTCCCATCTGCATGAAAGATTCCTTAGCCGAATGGAAGCTACGGGTCGGTCTTAAAAAAAGTTTATTTTGTTGTGTATATGCAAAAAATGTGGGTTGTAGTGCTAACCATGTATGTAGGAGTTAATAGCGGTGAGTAGGGCCGGAAGAACAACCAGCCCATGGAACATGCCCAGTGAAACAACTGTCGTGACGGTCTTCAGGAATACCATCGACAAGTACGACTGCTTCCAGAGCAGCGGCACTAGTGCCACAACTGTTGAGATGCCCACCTGCACCATTGGCCAACCGATCGTCGTTAGCGCCTGTTGAAGTCGATCTCGACTGTTCTGCAATAGTATATTTTGCTATTTTTACTTCTGAGCTTTGCCTCTGAGGAAGAAAAAGATTTTAAAACCCAGGCGGGGACGCACCAGGCGGGCCGGTGCGATTATGCGTTTTTGCACTTTTCGTGCCGTAGCAAGATCGTAAGG